CCAAGTCCCAAGCTGGCTCCTGCCCCTGCCTTATCTCCTCCTTCAGAATGCCCCGTCTACAAGTCTGATGAGACCATTTTCAGCCCTGGGGCTGATTGGACTGTTTACCAGTCAGCTCATAGCTCACACCAGATTTGTCCATTCCACGATCCAGGCACCAAATCCATGGGCCTCTCTACTGCTGTAGCTGGAGGGAGCCTTGGTGGCGGAGCTGGCCCGTGGGGCCTCGTGCTCCTCCTCTAAAGCCCTGAACCGGGGACTGCATGCTCAGGGGGTCGAAACTGCCACCCGCCGTCACTGCCGGCCTTGGCCTGCCACCTGTGCCCCAGTGGGGCCTCTGGTGGTGGGTGCTAAAATGCCCACCTGCACTGCCCACAAGCAGCTTCTCAGGCCAAGTGCAGAGCCCCGAGGAGGGGAGGGGAACCCTGACTCCACCTTTGTAGGGTAGAAGGTATTTTAAATTTATTATTTTCTGCCATACATTATGTTTTGATACATGTGTATTCCAGAGCACTGTGCTTTGGAACATAGAGATAATACTTAAAATGGATTGCAAATAGTGCCTGAGGTCATTGGAAGAAGTCTTTGGCCAAACACATGTTTGTGACTCTGGGGGGTGTGTGTGTGTGTGTGTGTGTGTGTGTGTGTGTGTGTGTCTGTGTGTGTGTCTGTGTGTGTGTTCCTTCAGATTCTTGTGGAAAACTGGACATTGCCTGTATTTTGGATGCTGGGTTATTTTCTTCATGTTCTTCAGCTCATTTGGAAACTCTATTAACTGGAGTGTTTCATTTCTATTATTTCTAATTGCTGCTCGTCTTTTCCATGACTGTTAAATCACCGTCGTGTTGAAATTAACATGTAACCTACCTTCGGCTTTGTGTGGTAATACACAATTTCCTTGATGGGCCATCAGGAAGAGATGAGTGTTTGCTGGTAACTGGTGGGGATGAATGATAGAATTGGGCCCAGCTCTAATATGCTGTGATGATCAAATTGATGCCAGCAGCAGCTTTGTTGTCACCCATTTTGTTTTCCTATTTCAGAAGTGTGTATACTTTGTATTCCTGTAGCAATATTTGGGGATTATTGACTTAGTATGTGTCAGTGATTTTTGTATGTTAAATTGTTAAATAATAAATTTCGATGAAATATCTTTAGATAGGAATTTTGTTTGCCTCCTTAGCCATATCCTACACATGAGAATTCCAGACTTGCCTCTGAGAAGGTGGATGACTATGAACATGTGGCAAAGTACATGAAGAACACTCAAGTAAAGTTACCCTTGGTAAGTGTTCATTTTTAAAAAGCATATTTTAATGAAAATGGGGGCAACATTCCATACATGCTGTCTGGAAACTTGGGAGATTATTTCAGTGGTTTACTGGTTCACTTTGTTCCAAATCAGATACATGTTAGTCTGTTTCCCTAAGTTAGGATGACTTTGTATTGCTACAGACTGTAGAAGAAAGTGTACTTAATGTGACCTGAGGGTGGGGGCAGTTAAGGTTGGGGGAGAAGTACTAGTCTTGGTTTCAGAGTTTGCTTGCTCTCCCATTATATCTTCACCTAGGCACTACTGACTTCCAGTGTCCCTTGGATCAAATTCAGCGCCTGGTGAACCTGGGTGGGGAAAGGTTACGTCTTCATTTGCGCTGGCTTCTACATGGAAGCTCTCAGTTTCTTTAACTTTGAATGCCAGCCCACCACTGTGACGTAGTCCTCAAGAGATTTTGCATAAGACATCTCTGGGGACAGTTTAGGCTATTGTTTACACTCATCGCTTCTTCAAAATTATGCTAATTACTGGAATTTCCACCAGGTCTCGTTAGTCAGGGTATTGCTGTATGTGTCTATTACTGTATCGAAATGGTTTCAGATCTTTTACAACTTTCAAGTATATTTAATTTCTCTTGTATGACTTAGAACTTTGTAACTCCTTGGTAAAACACAAAAATCTTATTTCCTCCAGCAGTACTGTTTGATGTTTGAAGCAAGATAGGACTTTTAATTTTTTCATTTTGCAAGTTAAAAATAAAAATGGATGCTTTTCCCAGTCGCACACACACACAGGACAGGAACACATGACTTCACACAAATTTACTGATCGCATGAAAATCGGTGGACTAATAAAACATTTGGCAAAAGTGCTAAGGAGATGGCATGAAAGGTGAATCTCACTGCTTTCTTTCATGCTCAGATCAGTATGACATTCACAGTATTTTTTAAAACATCTGTAGTGAAGTGAGGGATGCTTGGGCAGCTCCATTGTTGAAACATAAGTATGTTTGTACTTGCGTGTTCAATCTAAAATTTTCTTTCTTTCTTCTTAATTTTAGGGAACCTTAAGTAAATCAGAATGGGAAGCTACCAGTGAGTATATCTCTTCAGTGCAGATTTATTGCTATTTTCAAAAAGTGATCAGTAAAATCTGAAATGAGAAATTTTCTAACAGGTTAAGGCGTGTGTGCACTTGTGTGTGTGTGTGTGTGCGTGTGCGTGTGTGTGTTTGTTTCATATTTTCACATAGCTGCCCATTCTTGCACTGTTGCTTAGGACCAAGAGGAAGATATATGCAGGGTGTTGCCTAATGTAAACTTTCACAAGCATGCTCAGATGCTTTTCTGCCTACTCGTTACCACATAACCATCTGTATCGGTTGTCTTTACCTCAGCTGCCTATTGGACATTTCGGCTTGTAGAACACTGCCATGTATTTTATTTGATTCTGGTCACTGCGGTGTGGTCAGTGAAGGCACGATAAGTAATAGAACCTTGAGTGAAGCGTAGTGAGCAGGGTATTTTAGGACTGGGGACGGGCATCATCCAGGGACATTCTGAAGCGAGGCCCCTGTCTCTGAAAGGGAACTCCAAGGCCTGGTGGATCTGTGAACTCCCATGGTTCTTCAACAGAAGTCACTGTCCAGAGCCTCACTCTATCATGTTGTGTGGTTGCCCTGAAGACTTAGAAGGTAGTTCCCACCGTTCGTTTAAATGTCTGTTGATTATGTTGAAGGCACAGGTGGTCAGAGAGAATCCATTCCATAGACGTTTGAGCGTTGCTGTACGTTAACGGTCTGCGAAAGGGTGTTGGGGGCGCAAAAACGAGTGCGCGAGTTACTAGAGCTGTCTTGCAGAAGTGTGCTGTGTAATGCACACGTCTGCACTAATGCACAATTAAGTGCACTACAAGGCAAGCTGTTTTAAGGAAAGGAGGAGCGATTAATGAATTGCAGTGCTGATGACTGGATCACCTTGCCTGTTTTTCGTCTATCTGATCTACCTGCTGCAGTGCCAGCCATATTTCATTTCTCCTCAGAGAAATTGGAAACTAGTAGATAAAGGGGCATGACCAAAGTAGACTTTGAAATGGCTGGTGGTGTACTCCTATGCTGGTTGGGTTGGAAGAGTAGAGAGCCTCGAGGACTGGGAGGCTGTTAGGTGATCTGTGTTGTTCAGCTGTCTGTCCCTCGTTGAGAAATGAACTCAAGGAGTGAAGACTCGGGGCCTGTTACCCTGACTTGCTAGTTGAATGCCCTGGTGCATGCCCGGAACATCTGTGTGATGTTTCGATGATTTGTCATCTTTGCGGGTGCTTTCTGACCATAAAAATCTATCTGTATCTCGTTTGAAGACATAACGTGTTTGAACTAGAGTGTGATTCAGAATGAGGAGCCACGATGCTTTTAGATGTCTTTTTGAGTCAAAGCAGGAAGCCTTGTTTAAGGGAGCATGCTCTTGGGGCTGGCTGCATGCAGGAATATCGCTGTTGGGGCCAGATAAATCAAACCCTCCAGCACTACAGTTGGATAAGTGGGTGAATGTTGGTGTGCATGTTATGCATGTTCCTTTTAATTCTTAGCGGTAGGTTTTTTGTTTTCCTTTCCTTAGAGAAAACTGAGTAACGCTGTCATTAGTACTCGTAGGGGTGTAGTTGTTATACCTGTCTACCTCACACCAGGTAAAAAGAAGTTAGTCGTGCACTTTTTTTTAGTTTTGATTTTCTTTGCTTTCCTTACCTTCCACTGTTTCAGAGATTTTGAGAGCTGTCGAATTTGTTTTCTCAAGGGCAGTGGTACCACCGGGTATTAGAGTACGCGGGTATTTGCTTCTAAGTAAGCACATGTACGTGATCCCGTATCTGCTTAAATGTGATGCAGCATAATGGAGAAACTCTTGGAAATAATGGGACTGTTGCTCTTTAGAAGCCGCTAAGACTTTTTTGACCACATTGGGTCCAGGACCAAGACTGTTGTTCTGTTTGCCCTGAGGATATGAGAAACCAAACTCTGACTTATATTTATTCTCTTTTTTAGGTATTTACGTGGTGTTTGCATTTGAGAAGCAGCCGTAAGCACGTGTGCAGTAGCATCAGAACAGCTGTTGCATCCTTACGCAGTTGTGGATGATCCATCTGAGATAGACTGGACAACTTTCCGTTTGCTGCTTTTCATTTCTAAATGTGCAGAATGCTGCCTGGAAACTCCAGCGGATAAATTTGACCCTGCCGTCTGTGACAGATGAACATTTGTGTGTGTGTGTGTGTGTGTGTGTGTGCGCGCGTGTGTATGAGTGGGGACCTTTACAAATCTTACTTGTACGTAATGTCCTCAGGAGTCCATTTGCCTGTACTGTCTTAGCTCATCAAAATTGTAATAGTACATGTAAGAGCTGCTGACATCGTTCCACGGTGCTCTGATTTCCTCACTGTTTCTTTACGGTATTAAAGTTATTGCAGTGGTGGAATTGATGAGGGAACACACTGGTTTGGGTGTGGGTGGGGTGCGGTGTGACCATTTCTGTATTTTTGTTATTATATATAATGTTTTTCGAGATCAAGTGGATAGCATTCTGTGCAGGCTAATGTACGTCTTCAATATGTGTTGCTGAGTTGTGGTTAAAACAATTTTGGGCTGTCATAAAAGTCACTTACCTTGGAATTTCAGCCAGTTGTGACTAGTCATTATAAATAGCAACTGCCTTATTTGCTGGTATGATGCAATTCTGGAACTAAATAGAACTTTTTAGATCACAGCATATAATCTTGTGGGTTGGGGGGTGGGGGGGGCGCGAGAAGGGCTTCTCTCATACGATATCCCAAAAGATTTATATTTCCAAGTGTGAAGACTGATTTGTGTTACTTATCTTCATTGAACAAAACTGCTGTACTTCTCCTCGATGTTAGATCCAGGTTCCTGATGCTACGTCCTTCTAGATCCGTTGCCCCATGCAGCCCAGAAAGAAGCCCTGCCTGTCCCTCTGTTTCAAGGGGTCCTTTTCACAGTAGGAGCGGGCATCTCATCCCCATTCAGAATTTGTAATTGTCGTATCAGAACTGTTGGAGTACTTCAGCCCTGGCTCCTTGCTTGATGGCATTTCCACAGCTGCCCCCCGGGGAAACTGTTGTCCTTACTTGCATCTCTGTATGGAAAGGACACCTGCCCTATGATAGGTGTGAAATACTTACAGGCGATTATTGCATTATGTTTTTTAGAAGTCACTTAATTATGTAATGCATGGCTTAAAAAGACATTACCTTCTATGATTATCTATCGTGCTGGTTAAAAAAGCAGTTTAGTCTCCATTTATTTGTATAGGTTGATCGTTCAGTGTTAGAGTAGCAGATCTTTTATCAAGGGAACTCAGTTTACCTAATTTCCGTTGCTTTTACAATCTCCATCTCCAAACTGTTTCCAGTTTGCAAAACTTGAGTGCTTTGCCTTAGTGGTGCTTTGACCTAAAGTCACTTGGGGGAGTTTAACAGTAGTACATCTGACTAAGGTGGCTGCCATTATCTTGCTAAGGGTTGAGCAGCCGTGCTGGGGGAGGTGGGAGTGGAGAGCCCTTAGGATTACATGATGGAAGTGCATTTCACTTCTGGGGGAACTACCAAAAAATATCTGCGTAGGGCAGAGTGTGGAAAGCTTCCGATGGCGTCTTAATCCTAAATAAGTGATCAAACTGTTTTTAGCTTCCTTTGCCCTGTCCACTCCGTGGATGATGGGAGTGATGTGGAGGGATGAATCCCCCCAAGGGATGGTGTGAGCAAGCTTGCTGGTGATAGCAAGCAGAGAGAAAAGAAAGGTGGAGTCCCCAGGGCTTTCAGTGTGTAGACAGGAACACACGTTCTGTGTGGGGAGGGAGATAGGTGAGGTGGCGAGGTGCTTCTGCCACTTGCCTTTTGCCTTGCGCTTTGCTGGCCTTGCCTTTGTTGTTCTTCCCTCCGCTCCCAGATGTCTCCTGTCTCCAGCGGCAATGAAGTGTCCAGGTAGTGACTAGGGAAGAACTGTTTGGCAACGGCAGCCTCTGCCCCCATCTCCCATCAGCAAGGGAGGACTTGTTGGTAGGACATCCCCTATGTCCAGTCCCCTGCCCCTCCCCCAACACTCCCGGCAGTCTAAGCATTGGAGGGATTTTCCAGGCGAGACTGGTAGCTGCTAAGAGAGGGACGTGACTGTTCACTCCTGGGGCAGTGATGTAAGCAGATCCTGGCAGTGAACGCAGGACGCTCCCAGACCTGCCCTTCAATTTGTCCTCTACGAGTGTCAGGTAGAACTGAAGATCAGATCAGCCGTTTGTGGAAAAGACAGCCTGAGATCAGTGTGATTGATCTGGGAACATGGCTGGATTGTGGCAGAACTGAGAATTCCCCATTGAATTCGGGCCTACTGTTATGCCGAAAGGAAAGGTGCCCGTAGCCTGTGCGTTCGTGGAAAGAAACTGGCCATTTCCACACCTCACCCTCACCTGCAGACCAGCCAGGGTGTGACTGCTCCTCCACCTGCCTCTACTTGTAGCCTGACTCCCCCCCCCCCCCCCCCCCCGCAGAAACTTGCCTTCAGGGAGAAAAAGGATTGCCTCGAGAACTAATCTGTTTACTGACTGAAAGGTAGGTATCGGGCACAGAGTTTCCTAACCTACCTCCTCCCCAGACCTGTGATGTGAGGAAGTAGGATTGTCCCCTACATGGGTGCTAACAGAGCCTCGGAGCAGAGGTGTGCAGCGTGGGCCCGGCTGTGAGGCAGGGCGCGATGCTGATCAGCCCTGGGAAAGCAGCACGGCGTTGGCAGCTCCCAGGTGGCCAGGTCTCCAGTCCCACCCACTGAACTCTTCTGGGGATTCATCCTCCTTTCTGTCCCAGCCCGCTGACTTCATGTCCTTCAGGTATGTCTTCAGGTATCCTCCTGGTGAAGATTCGGCTACTTGGGTAGGTCTGCCTCCTTGGAGAATACGCCGGTGTGAATATTCTAGCGGTTGAACATCGGTTTTTCCTTTGTTGATAAACCACTTATTGCCGTCAGTCTGAGACTTTGTGTCTTGAGCCAGTCACAGTCAAGGTCTCAAGGGCTCCAAGGTAGAGACCAGGGCCCTATAATAGGAGTTATACCCCAGTGGTTGTGGGGTTTCCTGGCCATTTGGTCAAATAGGAAGTGTGGGTGTGTGATGTTACCACCTCCCTACTTGCTGTTAGGTCAGCTACTACATGCCTGGGAGGTGTCTTCCTTCTTGCCCTCTGGCAGCAGCAGACCCGATTCTTCAAAGTCTTTCAGGGAGGTGGCTGGCGACTGCTCTCATTTATTCAGTGATAAACTTACTTAGCAGATGTGCTGGGGCTGGGGGACAGCCAGCTCTTCTCCATCTCACATCCTTGTAGATCTCTCCTCTGCTCCCCTTTACCCCTGAAGGGGGTGTCCCTGGTCCCCGCTGCTTTACTGACCGTGTGGGGGACAGCCCAGGAGTGCTCTGCACAGCTTGACTGTGGGGACTTTGGGATCGGCCCCAAAGCCTTCTGCATCCTGAGCCACTTTTCTGAATGTTCTAACATGTGTTGACTCACTGGGATGCTTTTGAAAACTATGCGGCTAGCCCCATTATCCTTATTTTAATGGTGAGGATAACAAGGCACAGAGTGGTTACAAGTTTGACCAAAGGGGCCCAAGATCTGAACACCCTGTTTCCCCCTTGTAAGGGGCAGGACAGGGCACAAGGCAGGTTTTCTGATCCCATGCAGATCGGGTAAAGGAGGAATCAGAGTCCTCAGTAGTTTTGCAGGTTTTTTATTTTGGGGTTCACCAGGCATATGGCAGGCAGGGGTGCTGGCTGGGGGGCTGGGAGGCTGGCAGGCCTCCCAGCCCCCAGCAAGTCTTCACTCTATCTGGGCTCTCTGGCGTTCTCTGCTTCTGCTTCGGCTTCTCCTTCAGGTTCTGCTGCTGCTGGCTGGGGCTGCTGGCGTCCCCCCGTGACGCCGCCCTTAAAAGCACAGTCTTAACTCAGCTGAATCCCATCTACCTATGCCCACACCCTATTCCAGGTGCCCGCCATCAGGCATGCATTCAGGACAAGGATCCATCATCTATCCTGATGGCGGAAGGGCAGAAAAGCCTGACATTTTCTTTACCCTACAGTCCACCCCCTCAGGATTTTCTGCCATACAGTCTATACAATACAGTATATACAATTTTCTAAGCAAACAAACAATGCAGCCATGGCCCACAAAAGCAAATACATCAAATAACAAAATACAACATAACAAAATACAACACAACACAAATAAGTCCAGGCAGGGCACCAACCAAGTGCAAAAGACAATTATTGGTACCAGCAGATGAGCCACCAAATCTGCTGCCGAAGGCACTGCTCATATAAGGGAGGGGAATCACTCACGGCATCTACTATAACATACCAGGAGCCGTCAGGCTTCCTGGCCTTCTCCGGCTGTAGTCTAGGCTACAAGGCACACACAGCATCCACCCCCAGGATGCACTAGCTCTGGGATTGGCAATTTTATTCTGTTGGGGGTAATCGCCAACCCTCAGGGTTTCTGTCTGCAGTCGCTCCAACACTCGGCCTTCATGGCCACCCATGCGACTCACAGACCCCTGCTCTCAAGCCAACCCACTGCACCAGCACATGGGTTGGGGATCCAAACTTTGCATTTGGCTTGGGCTCCACCCCAAGCCACATTCCCCACCCGTCCCCCAAGGACGGGCTCCTCAGCTCCTCACCCTCACTCAAGAATGAGCAGGGCATCACCCATAGGTGATTTTACGAGACTCACAGGGCTTCAGCATACCCAGGCTGCTTAACAGCCGCTTTAGGGCTTCTCAACTTAGCATCAGTACCATCTTTTGCCACCTTAGTTGGCTTTTCTCCTCCACCTGGCCACTGGGCATACACAGGCTGCTTTTGGCCATCTAGGCCACTGGCCACCCCCAGATTCTCAAAAAATAAACATAACCTGCTAAGGTCCTCCGCCTTCTGGCGGGATTGTCAGTCCAAAATCATCAGTTCATCAGTCTATCAGTCCATTGGCCTCTCCCTGCTTCAGCAATGGCCTGCTGCCTCAGGGGTCATTGGCTGGTCCTTTCCGGTGTCGTTGGCTGGTCATTTCCGGTGTCGTTGGCTGGTCCTTTCGGGCGTCTCCTTCACGCCAGGTCTCATCCTGTAGCTCGTGGACGTATCCATCTTCTATACCGCCATGGTGCCTCCAGCGTCGTCACAGGCAAAGTCTGTTCTCCTTAGTCCCTCTAGGTCTTCGGAGGGCTCCAATACCCGTCTGCATGGATCTTGCCGACATACGCCAATTGTAAGGGGCAGGACAGGGCACAAGGCAGGTTTTCTGATCCCATGCAGATCGGGTAAAGGAGGAATCAGAGTCCTCAGTAGTTTTGCAGGTTTTTTATTTTGGGGTTCACCAGGCATATGGCAGGCAGGGGTGCTGGCTGGGGGGCTGGGAGGCTGGCAGGCCTCCCAGCCCCCAGCAAGTCTTCACTCTATCTGGGCTCTCTGGCGTTCTCTGCTTCTGCTTCGGCTTCTCCTTCAGGTTCTGCTGCTGCTGGCTGGGGCTGCTGGCGTCCCCCGTGACGCCGCCCTTAAAAGCACAGTCTTAACTCAGCTGAATCCCATCTACCTATGCCCACACCCTATTCCAGGTGCCCGCCATCAGGCATGCATTCAGGACAAGGATCCATCATCTATCCTGATGGCGGAAGGGCAGAAAAGCCTGACATTTTCTTTACCCTACACCCCTCAGCCAAGTTGGGCCTGCCCTCCAATTGCATTTACCTACCACGAGGGGTGTCTGAGAGGCCTGCATGACTCCTCGCTGTTTCAGTACCTGCAACTTGAAGTGTTATTTATGTCCTTTGAGAGGAATATTCCTGATTAAGAAGCTTTTGGGCAGAGGGAGCAGATGTCCACTTGATCTCACTAGAGAATGAGGGTAAAAAGTGATAAAAATAGACTTGGACTTTACATTTTGGTAGAACTACTTTAGCAACCAGACCTGTACCATATGGCATTCAGTTTTTATGTTTGGGTAGGTGGGGGCAGGGTTATTGAGGGTGTTTGTTTTCTTCTCACTCTCACCTTTTATAAGAGCAGTTAGTAGCCGAGTGCAAGTGTGAAAGAGTGTAGTGGACAATGGGAGAGGCTCAGGGAGGAGGAGTCATTTCATCGTTCTGAGCTTCCGATCCAGGTAGAGGCATGTCATTTTAACCATTTCTACAAGTTTAACATCTACATAAATAGTCTGTGTATTCCCCTTCTCCCCCAACAAATTAGGACACAATGCACAGAATCAGCACCCAGAACAACAATGTAGTGTCAGGAAGGCACAGAGCAGGTTTTCTATGATTCAAGCCAATCATGAGTGTAAAGGAGGAGTCCTGAAGCCCTCGGTCCTTTCTCAAGCTTTTATTGAAGTCTTACATGTGGTGCAGCAACCAGGTATATGGTAGGCAGGGGTACTGGGAGGCCAGGAGGCTGGTAGGCCTCCAACCCCTGCCCCCTCCAAGTCTTCACTCTGGATTCCCTGGCTTCTTCTGGCTTGCTTTATCCCTTTCTCTCTCCTGCCTGTCTCCTCCTTCTCTTGGTGACTACCTCATTACTCCTCCCATGGCCCACAGCTTACAACAATGTAACAACTGCAGGTGCCCCATCAGGCAGGGCAATCCTAATGGTGGGAGGGCAGAAAAGCCTGAAAACCATTTACCCTACAAACAAACATTGCCAGCACCCAGGACACCCTCTCATGCTCTTTTCCAGTTTCTACCTCCCGAAGGGTAGGCAACCATTATCCTGACTTCTAAGAGAATAGATTAGTTTTTTCTGGCATCGGACATTATGTGAATGAAATCAAACAGTAATCAAACAGTGTTCTGTAACTGGCAGCTTTGCTCAAAATGTGTGATTTTTGTTGACACTATATGTATTTGGTTGTTGGAAAAGTCATGTATTTCTTCTGTGTTTTTCAAACAAATGCATCATGACTTCTGACAACCTGATACATGCTTTGTTCTCACTGTGTGAATAAAACACATGTTGTAGATCTGATGGCGTTTGGTTCACTTCTGTAGTAGCAGGATGGGCACAGAGCAGGTTTTCTGAGATTCAGCAGATGGGGTAAAGAAGAGTCCTGGAGCCCTTGGCGGCTTTCTCAGGCTTGTATTGAGCTTTTACATGAAGTACAGCAACCAGGTACATGGCAGGAAGGGGTGCCGGGGGACCAGGAGGCCAGTAGGCCTCCTAGCCCCTAGCAAGTCTTCACTCGGGGTGTCTCTGGTGTTCTTCTCCCCTTCTCTCTCCTGCCTCTCTCCTGCCTTTGCTTCTCTTGGCAAATATCTCAATATTGCTGCCATAGCCCACAGAAGTAAACAGTACAACTTACAGCAATATAACAAATATAGGTGCCCCATGAGGCAGGGCAATCCTAATGGCAGGAGGGCAGAAAAGCCTGAAAATCATTTGCTCTATGACTTCATCTCCAGTTTGTGAACTGTTTTTAATAGTCTGCCTCAGATATTCGAGTGCATGAATTTTAATGTATAAAGGTACACATTACTGCCTAGGAGAGGAATTTTAGAATTCCAGTGTGTACATTATGTTCAGCTTTACTATAATAGATACTGCCAAGCAGTTTTCCTAAGTTCCAGTTGTTCCATGCTTTTGCCAACACTTGGTAGTGTCAGTCTTTTCATAGGGAGTCTGGTAAACCAATTAGGCTGACAAGAAATACAAGCAAGAAAAGAATGGAGCAATATATTAAAAAAACTCCAGGGCAAAAAATGCCAGGCAAAAATACTTTATCCAGTGAAGCCCTCCTTCCTTTATGAGGGAAAAATAAGGAACTTCTCAAACAAAATCTTTTTATTTTTTCAAACAAAAGCTTAAGAAATTTGCTCCTACTCACCCCCAATTCTAAGAAATAACACAAGAAGTCTTAAGATCTAAGCCAACACAAGAATGAATAGCAATAACAGCAAGATATTGA